CTCGCGAAGACTGCCAACCCTGCAAACCCTAAACCCTAAACCCTAAACCCTAAACCCTAAACCCTAAACCCTAAACCCTAAACCCTAAACTTGTAAACTGCCGTCTTCCCCAAAGGGGGCTCTCGGAGGGACCCCTAGAAGGGATCCCTAATCCTACTACCCTAGATAACCCTTATAGACCCTCATAAAGCCCCTATATAACCTCAAGGGTCCCTTTAAGGGTCCCTCCTTTAGTCCCTTGACTTCCAATCTTCGGGGTTGGAGCGACTCGGAGCTGAAAGGAAGCTTTGGTGCTTGGGGGTTCCGGGTTTCGACTCACACACTCGCACTCGGCTAGCTGGCATTCGAGGGTCTGAGCTTGCTACTGGGAGTTCAGGGTTTAGGGTTAAGTTCGGATTTCCCTCAAGGTGTACAGTGGTTCTGTTCTTAGGACATCATCTGGTCAGACAGTTCTTGGGCTTGACGGGTTTGGATCATGAGCTTCCTTGCGGCTTAGCAGCTTTGGGTCTTGCATGTTTTGGAAGAATAAGACCGGGTCTTCGCATGTTAGCAGCATTTACTCTGCGCCGTGTGGAACGGGGGCGAGGCAGAATTTAGGGCTTAGGAAGAGGCTCGCTGGACAAAGCACAAACTCGGAACCCCGGAAAGTGGCCAATGCCGATTCAGGAATATACCAACAGTCCGAACCAGAAGCTCTCTATGGTTTATGCTTTTCATGCTTGAACTATATAGGGTGTCGGACCAAACCTCAAAGCTGCGGCTAATGAGTCATGAATGATATGGGGGCTTCCGAAAACAGGGGACCCTAATATAGCACCCTAAATAGTAGGATCCTTGGTGTAGGGGACCCCCCAAATAAGGTACCCCTAATCTTCGGAAACTCCCATATTGGGCTTCTTGGTTGGAGTCAACAGTTTCGCCGGGATCACTGAAATGCTGGTCGTAGTGTTTGACAGGGGCGGGCTTAATGTAGGGGCCTTGGGGGGCTCCATGTTATGATTATCGTACTATATGCCCCTCAAACCCGAGTCTACGTATTAAGGCCCCTAAACCCTAGACTCTTATAGCAGCCCTTATAGAACCCCTTGAAGGAGCCCTATAAAGCCCTTGTCTAATTATCAAGGCCCCTAGATTACCTAGAGCCGGGCTTTGAAGGAAAAAGCGGTCGTTCGCGACACATGACCTTAGGTTTCTGGGTTCGGCTCCCCGACTTAGGGTTTAAGGGTTTAAGGTCTACCTGTAGTCTCCATTGTAGTTCCTTTTTGGGGATACCTTAAAATCCTTAATATATAATTGGTTAAACCAAAAAAAGGAACTACAATGGAGACTATAGTATAAGGGTTTCTTGTTTCAGGGGCCTCTTTCCACCTCGCGACAGGTCACGATTTATAAGGGTTTAGGGTTTAGGGTTTGGGGGTTCAGGGTCTGGGGGTTTGGGGTTTAAGGCTTAGGCTCCCGACGGCTAGAGCAGGTGCAACTCGACAACCTAAAACCCAGACCATGCGTCTACATGCCCAGCAAATCCTCCATACCGATCAATCACTTTGAATCCCCCAAACACAAAAAGTCCTAAACCTCCCCCCAAAAATTGTTAAACGCGAAAACAAAAGTACCAGAGAAGCTCGCAACCCTAAACCCTCAATCCCAGACCCCGCCTGCACCCTAATTCTTAAACCACCCCAACTGCCTCGCCCAGCAATGAGAGGTCGCCGGCATCCCTGGATCGAGCCACCCGCTCCTGCCGCAGCTAAGAGCAACGGCTTTTGCGGGCAAATAAGTAATAACTATACTGAACTTAGACCCCTAGCAAAAATTATAATTTTAGCTACTTCTTAGGGTTTATAGCAGCCAAAGATTAAAAAATATTTCTAAGTACCCCTAAGATAAGGGGTTTGGAGATTTGAGGTTTGTACGAGGTTTTTTGACTGCTTCTAGAAGAAACTGGTCTGGGGTTTATGGTCCGCGGGCTGAGGGTTTGGAGTTTAGGAATTGGGGTTCAGGCGTTTCGGAATGCTGACAAGGGTTTTGGGAGGGCATGCAAAGTTCAACTGGAGCCATTTCAGAAACGTTCCAAAAGGGGAAGTATCAGCTTACATCATATAAAAAGCGCTGAGGGAATAGATTCTGTGGAAGCTTCGGGCCTCCACCGTAGGGGTTGGGGGTTTAGGGCCAGGTCCTGTTTGCTGATCTTTTCGATCCTCTATCTCTGTGGGCTGAAGGCTGTCCTTACCGAATCCTGACGGCTAAGGGCTCGAACCCGGACGAAACCCTAGACCCCAAACCTGAAACAACCATAAACCCCTAAACCTTAAACCCTAAGGCTTTACCCCCTAAACCCTAAAGCCTAAACCCTGAACCCTAAACCCTAAAGGCAATATCTCTTCAGACGAATCTCTGGAAAGAGCCTTCTTCAGGTCTCAGTCTCTGAACGGTTTTTGTCCTTATGCAGCTAGAAGTACAGCCCTACCACCCTGAAACCATTACCGTATAGTTACCTAAACCCTAAACCTTACAAAGGCTGGAATAAAAAAAATACTACTAGGGTTGGGGCTGCAGAGCTTCAGCCCTTCTCGGCCCTACGTCATGCAGGTGCAGGTTTGTCCTGAAGCTGCGCCACGGTTTCGGAGTCGGACACGGAAATCTCCTGCAAATACGGTGTTTCGGGTATCTAGCGGTTCTATGGGGCTTCAGGGTCTCAGCGTTTAGGGTTTCGGGGGGTTCCTGGGTTGAGGGCATACAGGGTTGGGGTTCTGAGGGGTCGTTTTTGTTTTTGGGGTTTGGGATCTTTGGCCTCAGGGCTTTCTTTGTGGTTGAAAGCTCCTCAGGCGCCCTTTACCGAAGACGGGGCTTGTTCCAGAAGACTTCGAGAGTACAGTCATCTAGGGGCCGTAAGGATCAACAACCGGGTTCCTGCTGAAGGGTTGAATACAGGTGCCGTAATCATCAAAACAGGGCTTCCGGGGAGACAGGACCACCAGTAGTACAAGTAGATCATATTACTGACTGCTGCTACTTATTTAATACGCTGCAGTACTGCCTTCTTGGGCTCTGCGTCCGAATGACTCATTTTGGAAAATCTCCAATCCTTTCACTCGAAACATGGGGGCCTTGCTAATTAGAAAAGGGATTTGGGTATATTATTAAGAAGGAGCCCCAAGGAATACTGTTGGTAATTATTCCGACCACCCCACAACCCACCAAACTCGGGAACCCTAGTAGTGAGCGTGGGTCGTCTGGCTGAGGATTCACTTCTGTGAGTCCGTGAGGCTTCTCTCAGGGACTGAGACTTCTCGGAATCCCCATATACAACATACTTTGCGTTATAGAACCTTCGCAACCCCTCACGACTGGCAGCAAAAATCCGTAGACCAGATAAAACCTGAAGACCAAATCCTCTGAACTTGAGCTGAATACGCAACCCCTACACACCCTTTTGCATTCGAGTCCGAAGTCCGACGGTGTAAAATCCGTCACCCGAGGCCAGGACTCACACCCCCCCACCGGGCCCTGACCGAGTCATAGCTGTTGTTGAGTAGCAGTGTGGCTTTTGGTCCTTAAAACCTAAACGCTAAAGGCCCATAAACTCTAACTGGCGCTCTTTCCCATGATGTCCTTCCACTGCCGGCCGGGGGCGCGAATCCACACCTTTGCGCAGCTCTCTTTGGGATTTCCCTGCTGGAGGTTCGCAGCAAGGGTGTAGAGTAGTGTTCGGTTCTGTTGCATATTGGTGTTTAACTCGAAATTAGTTCGATAGTGCTTCGGCATTGACTCCCGCCGCTTGATGAGCTGCTTGAGCTCAGAGCGGGTTGAGGCGCTAAGTGGGGTTTTCGGGTTCGAGTTTAGGCTGAGGCCCGCCATGAGTTTGCAGAGGGAGCTGTCTTTCGATGTCAATTTCGCTGCCGGTGTTTGTGCAAGACGAGTCATTCAAGGAGACCCTATGCCAACCCCTACGAGTACAGCCAGAAAATCCTCACTCAAAATAATATAGAAGCTTTACAAAACTAATCAGAACAGGGTGCTGGGCTTCTTTATAGTATAATTATCATAGGGAACCCCGAAAGTAGTATCGTTAGTTATTTAGGCCCTATATTACTGACCCTCAACCCTCGACTGTTCACCCTGAACTCCACCTGAACCCCACACCCCAAGCGGTAACTGCAGTCGAGGTGCTGGGTTAGTGTTGTTGTGTACCCGGTAGCCCAGCAGCCGCAAAACACTGAAGCTTTGCCTCAAGGAGTAGGGGTTCAGGGTCTATGTGAAAATCGCACGGTTTGGAGGCCATGTAAGTAAGGTTATAAGTCCCCTAATTGGGGTTATAAGTATAGTTACCTTAGTTGTAACCCTACTTACTAAGTCCCATGATCCTTTAAGTACACGCACTGAGGAGCGCTGCAAAGCCCTCGGTCGACGAATCGAAGACTCCTAGCCTAGCACCAGCTGCCCAATCTCTGGCTGGTTGGAGCCTTCGAATATATGCTGACATCGCTGGAGCCTCAAAACACGGAAGCAGGGTGACAGGTTTAGGTCTCGTTCGAGATCTTTAGGCTTTCAACACCGAGCCCTTTCAGCCTTCGTTAGACTTACTGTGAACAGCTGCAGTGAGAATAAAGAGGGCTTCGCGTTTTGAACGTGGGTTTGAGGTCGGTTTGATGAAGCTTTCTCAATCTAGACCCTGGCATGTTCACGTCAAGGTGAACCAGGTTGACCACAAAGACACTCTACATGCTACGCCTTCAGACAGAAGCATGGCTGAATGCAGTGTGCGCGTTGTGCGTTGCATTAACGGCGAGTGTAACAATCATCCAAGATGTCAAAACACCTGAAGATAGGCTTTCGGTTAAAGGCTTGTGCAGGAACTCCAACAACAAGGCGTTCCTTCTCTGTCTGAGGCCGTCGCTGCTCGTTGTCGTCCTCCTCTCCCTGCGTGGCGTGGCTATGTCGGCACCCCAGACTTCATGCAGAAATCTCGAAGTAGTACAGCGGCCGCGCTAGATGCTTATCAACTGTCGCACATATCTTAATCCTCATCGATTGCGGTACCAAAGACCCGAAGCTCCAAAACTGTTGGCAAGCAGACAAGATATCCAACAGATCGAAACATGTCCAAATCCCTAAGCCCTGACTATGAAGCCATTCCAGAAATGCTTGGCACACCCCAAATGCCCTTGTAACTCACTTGGTCAGCCTTACCCTAACGCAAAGCCCTTAAAGCCCCAAGCCTAAAATCTCAAGCCCTAAACCCTGAAGCCCCTACGCCCTAAGCCTTACAGTCTTCAGCCCCAGAAGCGTCTCAAGAATGGAGAAGCCACGAACCAGTGACGAGTTCCCCCTTTTCCGAAGGACTTAACTACGGAGGCTTAGGGTTTAGAGTTTAGGGTAATGAACCGACACTAACCTAACACATTGTGTAGCACTTCCTTCGGACAACATGTGTTATGCCCAATTACCGGGCCTGGTGTAAAGAGCCTGCAGTTTCACGTCTGATTTGCCCTTACCATCAGCTGTCTATGTGAGTGCGAGAAGTAAACAACCACTATGTGCAAGCAGCCGTATAGTAGAAACAGTTTCTACTAGTAGTGATAACAGCATCTGAACTTCTTGGTTCTGTTTACAAACCTTAGAGGTACCGTCCTCCAGCAAGTCTACCGTCCCGCAGCACCGCACATCCCCTGGCAACCTAAAACCTTGAGTTAAACATTCCAGGCCAACCGCCCCCACCTAAGCTACTCTACAGTGTGAAAAGCAGGCACTGTATAGGGTTTCGGGTTTAGGGAGTAGCCCTCGGTCTGGTTTAAAGCTAGCTGCGTGGGTTGGTAGGTGGCTTCGTCGCCCAGCAAGTAATTCCCGACTCATCGACCGGAAAAGCCCCGGAACTGCGTGACTCGGAGCAGACCCGAAGGCTCTACAAACCGTTGGCTGCTTTGGCCCTAAACTTTACAAAGCCGTAGCCCTTTTTGCATCCGGGCTGTGGGGTCCTCACCGGAAGTGTTCAGCAGACCCTCAAACCCAGTATGTAGCCCTAAACTCTAAACCCCTACATGAGCAAAAGATGCAACCCTAAACCCCAAAACTTGTGCAAAGCTCCCTAAACCCTAAACACTAAACCCTAAAACCCTAAACCCTAAAAAATCGGGAGGCGCCTTTGGCACCTTCTCCTTCTGCTTCATGGCGCGCTCGGCCGTGATCTCTTTAAACAGCGCTAGAACCCCTGGATAGACCTGGCAGGGAGCACTTGGAGGCTGCATAGGGGGTTTAGGGTTTACGGTTTAGGGTTTTGGGGTTTAGGGTTTAGGCTGTACAGGGTTGTGCAAGAGCTTGGTAGGTTGCAGAAGGGACATGTAAATAGGGTGCGGTAAGGTTCTTATAAGCCGGAGATCCAGCACCGCTTCATGAAGGAAGACGCCTTAAGTCCTACGAGTATTTGGACGCCCCTAAACCCTAAACCCTAGGCAGCTGAGAGTGTGATGAGAGGTATTGGGCTCACTGGGCACCGAGAGGTAATCTCGGGTCCGCCGCTCCCCTCACAAGGATTAAAGTCGGACCTACTTAAAGGATCATGGGACTTAGTAAGTAAGGTTATAAGTCCCCTAATTGGGGTTATAAGTATAGTTACCTTAGTTATAACCCTACTTACTAAGTCCCATGATCCTTTAAGTAGTAGGGATCCGAAGACTATTGGACTGGATCGCGTTGCTTGTTGAGGAATCGTGTGAAGTCAAGTTCTTTGGAGACGAGACAGGCTGACCTTACCTGACAGTGTAGGCCCAGGAAAAAGCCACATCACTTTGCAATTACCGCCAAGACGAATTGAATTAACACTTCTCACTTGCGCTTCTTATTGGGGTCTAAAGACCTATAAAGTCTGATATCCCGGATCCCACGGTTAAGCACCACAGACGTGGCAAGCCCCCTTGCGGAAGCCATACAAGACCCGAAACCCAAAATCCTAAACCCTAAACCTTAAACCCTAAACCCTCAACCCTGAACCCTAAACCTTAAACCCTAAAGCCCTAAGCACCGAGCTGACTCGGAGCCAACCCGCGAGCTTTCTAAACCCATGCAGAAAAACACCTTTGAACTACTGAGAAGCCTTAAACCACACAAGAGCGCGGCCTAGGGTTTAGGGTTTAGGGGGCTATAGTCATAGAGTCTCAGTATTTCCAAAGCCTTGGTTAATTACAGAAGGCTGGCCCCACCTGGCTTTTCGGAAAGCGCTCATCGCAGCCGGCGGGGAAATGGCCGCCACCTCGGAACTTCCCGGAAGATAGATCTCAGAGATCTGAAGTTGCACGCCTCAAGGTTTAAGGCTTGTAAGGTTTAGAGTTGAGGACCCGGGCAATAGAGCTCAAGAGAGGATCTCATCCCCAACAAGTGTTAGTTCAGAGAAGTAATATACAGCTTTGGGGGAGGATCTCACACCGTACAAGTCGCCAGGGAAGGCTCTTGAGCCCTGACCGCTAGAACACTCTTTGCAATCAAAGCACCCGCCCATGGACCCAATACCGGACCGGTTTAGGGTTTAGGGTTTAGGGTTTAGGGTTTAGGGACAGACAACTCCCAAGAGCAGACTCTGAAATTGCACCCCACATGGCTTAACTTCAAGCCAAACAAGATAGCCAAGAGCACTCCCATAGAGCGTGTCGTCCACATCGCTGATGATCTTGATCGGAGCCTTCCAGGGAAGAATGGCTCTTCGAGCTAGTCCGAATCTCCAAAGCATCGTGGCCCCAGGTTTCAGAACCACTTCCTCGTCCCAACGCTCACACCGATGCCAAACTTCAACAACCTCACACACCAGAACCATTGAGGCGTGATGCCTTTTAGCACGCTTTAGGGTTTAGCGGTTCCGGCTTTGGGGGTACAGGGCCTGAACCTCAGATCGAGCCTGCATCTAAGAATTGAGTAATCCCCAAGTAGTCCCTGAAATATCTGATGTTGAATTTGCTGTGGTTAAGTTTCAGAGGGGAACCCCGAAACAGCTCAAGTCAAGGAACGCACAACCTCCGGCTAGGTGCATCGGAGCACAAGACTAAAACTTACAGCTATTGTTTCTGCTGAAGTGCTGGATTTGGGTAGTTCTCTAAATTAGGGTCCCCTTTTGGGTCCCGCACCCTGATAAACCCTAAACCCTAAACCCTAAACCCTAAACCCTAAACCCCAGTATAGTACGGCACCCTTATAAAGTGGACCCAAGAAGGGACCCTAATTCAGAGAACTGCCCATTTAACAGCCTGCAGGTTTCTGAAGAAGCCAAAAGATGGGCCTGGTTTAGGGTTTAGGGTTTAGGGTTTAGGGTTTCTGAAGATGGGCCTGGGATTTGCCAGTACGACCTGCTTACCCATAGGTCCCATAGTAGTTCCTTTTGTGGGTCCATATTTAGAATCCTATAAGGTAATCCCAAAAAGGAACTACTACGGGGCCCATGGGTAACGAGTAACAAACAGCACGTAAACCAAACAAGCCCAAGTTTTGAAACTCTCACACGAGGCCTTATGCGGCGCGTACTGCTTCGCCATGCGCCTACCCTCCTTCTGAATGTGTCTGAGTGCTCGCTCGTACCTGGGTGCAGGGTTTTCTATAGAGGCCTAAATAATTACCTATACTACTTTTTTTT